CATCAGTAAAGCTTCTGAAGGGGACACCCAGGGCGAGTTCGCACTAAAGCCTTGAGTGATGCTTTGCATGTGCTGGTCAGCCAAGACAAACCGGTCACCGCAATCGGGTCTTCCTCATCACCTCGGACAATGTGCTTTCCCATAGATTCAGTGATACATTCAGCCGAGAGCTGCCAAGGGTTGACTAATCAAGCAAGGTATTTGCGTGTGTGAACCAGCCCTTTCTGGCTACAGTCTGTTACAGTGCCTTCCACCTCTTCTTGGTTTCATTACGGGCTGCATTTTTCATGGCCGTTCACCAATGACTTTAACTTTGGAATAACATCTGGGAGTCATCTAAAAGCTGAGGCTAGTGTGAAGCATTTTGATTTCATTTATGATGGAATCTGATCCCACGTTAAGGCAATAATTTATCCCAGGGACAAACCATCCCTGCTGAAGTTAGTAAAGGTTTTGGGGCCCTAGCCATACATTACTTTGTGAGTCTGGCATGAGAAGGGAGAGCGAGTTGGGGAACAAACTGTTTTCTTCAGTTATAAAGCAACCATTGGCATGCCGTGATACATGCAGATAAAGAGGTATTCAACACATTATCCAGACTGAGAGGGTCAAATGCTTGTCAGTATAGCTGCCATCCTATGACACAAGAATACAGAGTGCTAGTTCATCAACTCATCTTTTGGGGGCAGAATAATACCTCTTTCTTCCTCTTTTCCCCAGACACAAAAGTTAGTGTCCTTTCCAGAATGAATGCCATGGCCTCTGGAACCAGGGGCAGAGTCCTGGGCAACCCAGCCAGCAAAGCACGGGAGAAACGTCTTCAGTCAGAAAAACGTCTTGGTTAGTGAGGGGAAAAGACTGCAGCAGCTGCATGGAAAACTGGCAAAGGTAGACCAGGAAGCTACTATAAAGTCATGTGCTAACAGCCAGTCATATAAAAGTCACTCCAAGAGGCAGTGACTGCTGGGCCTTCATGTCCACAACATCCACTCCTTTGAGTCAGGGCTGTGTGTTCATTTGCAAAAAATAGAACTCCACTCCAAGGGTACCCTCTAAATTTGCTGCGAGGCAAATGGAACACCTCACTTAATACAAATGTATGCAAATACATATTTTCTGGTTTTCATAATATAGTCTGCTTTTAGTCATCGTGGGAAGGGTTGGTGTTCCATATGGTCTGAACCCGGATCCCCAAACAGCAAAAAAACTATTAATTATTATTATTATTATTATTATTATTATTATTATTATTAATGCATCTATATGGGCTAGAAAGTCACCTTAAAAAAAGAAAAAAGGTGACATTTCAGGATGCTGAATTTAGAGCCCAATACCAAATGCAATGTCATCTCTGCATTTACTTACACAGCCCTGAATTTACTGTTAAAGCAACTGAAAGCATCGGCCAGCGGGTATATCTATACCACAGGCTTCAAATAGAGTCCGTGCAACTCCTTAGAGAACTCTGGGGCCCACAGTTTTCTTGAAAGGGTCCAGCAAAAATTCTCAGCATCATCATGAAACTACTCTTCCCAGGATTCTTTGGGAGGAGGAAGAAGCCATTGCAGTGAAACCGACTGAAAAACTGATGTAGCATAGATATGCCCCGAAGCCTGCTTTGGCCAAAAGGATTCAATAAATTGATCGGGGTACGGCTTTCAATGTTGAAAGCTTCATTATAGCACAGAAATGGCCCAGGAAGAAGGCCTTCTGTTGGCCCAGTCAACAAGCAAAGTTAACAATATAGCAAAATACCTGAACTCTGAAATGAGCCATGATCCAGAGTCCAAGACAGATAACACTTGGCACAGAGTTGTAGAGATGTCTGGCTTGATCCTGATAGTTCTAGGGCTTTTCTACATGAGGTTTTTACCCACCACTTTATCCAGGCTTCTGCTTCAGAATTCTTTGTGGGATTAAGATCAGCTCCTTTACACATGCTTTTTTCCTGGGTTTTTCTCTCTGCCTTTCTATATGTTCTATTATACAACCACTAGGAGGTGCAGTGGCATGGCAGATACATGTGGGTTTCATGCTGCCACTCACAGATAATACCACGCTTTCCTTGATCTAAAAAATTGCCATGGAAATGGCTGGAAAGGATGGGAGAGGCCCATGACAAAAGATGACAAGATTATGGAAGGCTCCTGCAAACCAACAGGAGGAGGAATCACAAGTGCCTTGTACAGAAAGACTCCTACCCACCTTCTGGTAAGTTCACCTGAGATGAGTTGGATTCATTTACATCACCCCCAGCCAGCCATACTGGCAAAGGATAATGGAAACTGGACTGACGCACCTGAGGGGGACCATGCTGGAAAGGCTGCTTTGCCACAAAGCACACGCACGGACACACAGCCACACTCACCGCAGTCCAACTACTAACAACTTATCCCTTGGTTTGCTACTTAGCCCTGTGGTCCAGAGACACGCATGGGCAACATTCACTCACCCTGGAGCATTCTTTCCAACTCCGTCTTCTCGGCCACTGCAACTGCACTGGATTTTGAAAAACTGCTTTGCAAATACTTCAAGGAAAAGGCTGGGAGTTGGCTGAGATCTTGCGGAAAGGAAACAGACTTCACCCACTCTGCTTGAGTTTCTATTTCAAAAGCTTTGGCACAATGCCCCATTCTTCTGTTGCCTTTGAAGTCTGAGAGATTTTAAGAAACAAGCAGGGTGTACTCTTTGTGGGCACCTGGTGAGATGCAGGGCAGCTCCCTGGTACAAGCAAGCTGCAGTTTTCTACATCAGGCACAGCTTCCGCAGAAGAAAACTGGACTTTGTAGTGGGACAGAGTGCTTTTCTGCTTCTCAAGCACTCTTCTAAACTAGTTCAAATCTGTGATGTACACACGTTAACAAAGTGAGAAAGCTTCATGCAGACAGAGTCTGCATCCAGTACTGGGAGGATAAAGAGGAGTGGACTCCCCTCCCCAATTTAGCCAAATCATGTCCTTCCTAAAAGCAGAGCTGGTGGAAGCAACACGAAGATGAAGGGGGACAGGCACTGCGTCGCTTGTCATTCCAGCACAGCAAAAACCCATTAACGGTGAGTTCTATCCATGTCAAAACAGTCAGGCAATATGGCTGCCCTATGTGAGGGGAAACTGGCTGGTACTCGGCCGGCGTGTCCTGCCTCAGTTCCCTGGTACCCTGACCTGCCTTACACATTCAGGACAATTAAATGGGCAGTCAGGCAGCACCACCCACCAGTGCAGGCTGCTCGAAGAGGCCCACAAACAGTTTGCCACATTAAAAATAAATAAAAGCCCGCAGACATTTGCACCACAGGGATGAAAGATTTCCATTCCCTCCTCTGCTTACTATGCAGGGTTTTTCTTTGTGGTTCAATTTTCAGGAAGTTTGCAAAGGACGGAGGCATTCATAGCCAGAGCCCCCAACCTCTGCTCTAGGCTGGCGCCATCTAGTCCATCCTCCCAGCACGTCTTATTGCTACCTTCAACAGCAGTTTTGCATCTTCCAGATGTGCTCTTTACTGCTAGTGGCTGTGAATGATGGGCGTTGCACAGCCCAACACATCTGGCACCACACCGGGTGTCTGTTCTACAGTGTGTCTGGCCCAGGTCTCAGTGTTGGATCTCTCCAATTAATGCGCGCGTCTGCCTTCCAGACCCATAGGCTTCCCCTTCCTCACCCCTATTAGGGCCAGCCCTTCCATCAGGCAGAGTGAGGTGGCTGCCCTCAGGCAGAAGGATGTGGTGGAAAGGTGACGAGGGACAGAGCTGTAAGTGTCATGCAGGCTGCCCTGCACCCCCAAAACCATCCTGCTCTCCTCCAGGTGAGGGATGCTACCCCATCACCAGCTATCCATCTTCTGTACACTGACTGGAGTTGAGAGGGGACACGGTCTTTTCCACCGGAAGCAAAACGTCTTGGACCTGTCCTTGTACTTTGCCCAAGGAGACACAGGCAGCAAGGCAGCTGCAGTAAGAACATATTTTGGGGTAGTCTGGAGCAATGCGCATTTCGGTACAAATAACTGTTCATATACTTGGTGAAATAATGTCAATGCAGTATGTTTCTTTAAAAAATAAGAGGGGGAGGGAGATTTGAGAGGTGATTGTGGAGTAACTAAACTGAGTCTTTGCTGAGAAAAAGGGGCAATGGGGGTAGGGGAATAAAAGTGCAAGGGAGAAAGTGGCACCCGAAGCAAAGGCAGGAAAGCTGGAGGGTGTCCAAGCAAATGGGCAATGAGAAAATTCTATCCAGACCCATGATAGGAAGGTCTGGTCCAGGCTTTCATGCAAAAGCCGAGAAGGAGAGTGCTGAAGATGCACAGATCAAAGGAGAGTGCTGGTGAGCAAGGCACTCCCACGGCCACAAAACTGCAGTCCATTGCGAGAAAAGCTGCCAAGCTGCAAGCCAGATGTAGGTCTGTTGAAGCCACTGAAATCAATAGCCACGTTCTAGTTGCACCCACAGACAGCAGCCAGGACTGGGCTGTGGGAATGTAGTTGAAACACGGGACCAGCTGTTGTGCCAACCAGCTGTGTGGCAGGAAGAAGGAAGAGGCATTAAATAAATCCAGCCTGCATTCTCCTTCTGGCCTCCATTTGGTGCAAATTCTCTCTCTCTCTCTCTCTTTTTTTTGGACAGGGTCCATACACACAGGTAGTCCTGTGTAAGTCTATGTTTTCACACACAGTATCAGAGTTGGGAAACCTGTTTCCTCCCATAAATGTAGCCCCCAGACTATATTTTGGGGTGCATGGCTTTGAGTGTACATAAAACATACATTAGCTTATGATCTCAGTCTGGATATACCCTAACAAAAAACAAGTTCGCTCAACTGGACAGCAATTTCATCATTCAGGGTTTCTGTGACTTCCTTCCTTTCTTTCTCTTTGCTTTGTGATATAGCAGGACTTTTGCATTTAGTATTAAGCAATGAGAATACAGGTTCCTCCTTTTCTATTAAAAGTGGATTTTGACCTTATGAAGCAAGATACTTAAGGTAAAAAGGCACATAAATTCATCTGTTTTTAGATTCTTTATTTCAAGTAAACCACACTGCTATGTACAGAAAAAGTGGGTTTCAAAGCAGCAGCAATACATAAGAGGCAAAGTTATGTCTAGAAGTTATGCCATGCTTTAAAAACAGCAACAAAAAACCTCAGTGCACAAATTATCTTATATATTCTCACTTTTTCTAGGTCAACTTGACAAGGTACTACCTCGTGCCTTTTGCTTCCGTAGTTCCTGAGCTACTTCCGTCCAAACATTATACTCATAGCAAGTTTCAACTTTTGAAGGCGACATGTTAAAGCCTGGACTTGTAAAGATATGCCACATACAAGAAATAAGAATAAATTAAACCCAGGACAGCAAGTGTCTTATCTAAAATGACATAACTGACCTATGCCAACTAAGAGGTCTACATATTTGGCGAACCCCAAGGCCAAGGCTCAATACATTCTCCTTTCCAACTTCCTAGTCCCAATTTTATTTAATCAGCAAGAACACTTTCTAGAAGTTATGGCTTTTACTCGCAGGAATCTGTCAGTCTTCCCATTTCATCCTACATTCATTTAAAAGCTAATCAGTACAATAGCTAAGCTAGCCAGCAATTTAACGCTACTCTTGGTGCAGTGAAGGCCAACCAAATCCAGTCCAATCCATTTTATAATTCCGAAGGTTTACAGGATGGTGCAGAAAAACCAGACTAGCAACAGAAAACAAAGACAAGAACTTCCAGGAAAGAAACAACACCAAGTGTTACGCCTTAGCGCCTCAATACATGGGGTGCTCCTAGGTGCTACCTCAGAAGAGCCGTATATTCATTAGAGGACAAAATTCTTGCACATTGGTTTACTATTCATAGGATTTTTAACTTTTGACATTAAGGATTTGCGCCGATAGGCCGTGATGCCAGTTGCGCAATTTGGCAAAGCGTGGGCTGTTACGTTCCGTTTCAAACCTTTCCCTGTGGCATGAAGAAAGAGACAGGAAGGGGGGAGAAGAAGAGGGAAAGAAAGAAAGAGGGAAAGAAAGGGGAAAGAAAGAAAGGGGTTAGGGATGGCTGGAACCATTCCCCTGCCTAAGAACTAGGGCAATTGCAATTTATTTGGATTCAAGTAGCCTCAAAAATCAATACCAAAAAAGGGAAAAAAGGAAAGTTTTGGAGAAAAATCAGGGTAGTTTGACTTAATTTATGATTGATGTAATTTAAACACAATTTCCTGTCCCTTCATCCCAGTTTGGATTAGCTTGACAGGGCTGCTTTTGCTAGAAATGCTTCATGTAAGCCTCATCCTTTTACCGTCAATAAATTTCTGCCTGATCAGGTGGCAAATAGTTTCAGCATTTTAGCTTATAGCGTTTTGCATCAAAATGACATCCAAGCACATATTTCAGTCACTTGTTTTACACAGCAGCTGCAGAGCGTATAAACAAAATATGCCAATGAAAGACGGCACAACGATCTCTTGGTGAAGCTAAGCGGCACCAAGGCTGGCCCAAGACACTTTGGGGACTAAAGCAGAAAACCCAGAAAACACGACCTCTCTATTTAAAAGGAGGGCAATAAATCAAACACTTTTACAATTCGACACCCACGTTGCAGGCCTGTAGAAACTGCTTCACGCCGCCTCACAGCAGGCCTGACCCTGCAGGTTTATAATACTTCAAGATATTATGTCCTGTATGATTCTGAAACTCTGACATCTCTTTCTACAGACATTAATGACACCCAGGATCTGCCAGGCATGCTACAACTCTGTGATCTGGTCTTTTTCTGGATTGCACCGGTACTTTGATGGCGCAATATAGAATTGGAAATTAAAAGAGGCGAGTGGACAAGAAGGAAACATAAGAGAAATGCGTGCAATAAAAAAACCAGTCATTTGATCATTTAAGTTTCAGTTTTGGTGCCGTTATTGAGCTTTCCACTCCAACATTTTTGAAGTTTGTACCTATGAAGGTTTAAATTTAAGCCCAAATACATGTTTTGTTTTAGTGCAGTTCTGGGGAGTAAAACAGGCACAAACGGGGGGGGGGGGGATACACACTGGCCCCTGTTCATATGTTACCTTCTCCCATGACAGGGTTCTGCAATACACAGGAGAATAATACTTGAATGGATGAACCTGGTATCCTTTCTTGCCACAGAATCTGAATTTATGAACCACATCTGAGGGTGGGTAGGTCTCCCCAAGAAATTCCCACTACAAATTCAGTCCCATCTACAACCTTGAGCTATCAGCAAGTGCTCCTTGCTACTCACTTTTACACGCCACTCAGGGTCAAAGCCAGATACACTGTACAGTTAATTGTATGAATGCAGTTCAGCTCTAGAGCTGATGGGAGTTGTGGGCCAACCCACTGGAGGGTCGCACATTGCTCACCGCACGTCGACCGTCGTTTCCCTTGCCTCGGTCCCGAGGAAAACTGGCCCTCCTCTGACTTGACTTCCACTGGGAAGGCTTATCCCTCCATGCCCCCTGCAGCCTCAGGCCCTCCCACAGCTGCTGTGCAGAATTCCCCTCAAAAATTAAAAAGCACGTTAATTCCATCCACATAAATAGCGCGACATCTGCGTTGGCTACCATGTCGCCCTCCAGTCCTCCTGCAGCCACTGCCTCTGACCAAGAGAGAGGCAAGAAGAACAAGGGGGAGAGGGATCTACAACAGACCCACTTCCTTTCTGCTCCAGCTCTGTTCAGCTTGGCTTTGAGCTACGGCTCTGCTTTGCCTGCCTGTTTTTCCTGCACCTTCCCCTTCCCTGCAGCTCAGCTTGCTGCCGTGCCAAAGGCAGAGGCAGGGTTTCTCCACGGTCCCAGTTGCTTGTTTCCTCCACCCCAAGCAAGAGGTAGAAAGACTGGGTGACAGCCATGGGAAGTGGCCAGGCCTCACTGCCCACGCCCTTCCGACCTACACTCCCTGGACATTTAACCAGGCAACCCTGCGAGGCAGCTTTCCCTTTTGTTTGGCATGGCAAAGTTCTGTAGGAGAACATCCAGGGGCATTTAGCAGAAGGCATCCTGGCAGTGCCACGTGAAGCTGGTTCAAGTGACCTGATGAATTACAGCTCCTTTCAGGAAGAAAAAAAAAATCAAAGTCTGATTTGTTTGTTTTTTTTAAGTTCCAGAGTAAGATGTGAACAGGGCCTTGGCTAACATTCAAGCTGGAAGAAGCACAAACAACAAAGAGCCTTAACAGTGGAAATGAGGCTTTTAAAAAAGACTTGCTGGGGCAACGAAAAGCAGGAGCTTCATTTGAAGGATGGTCTTTCAGGGCACAACAATGGGGAGAAACCTGGCAGCCTTCATGTTGCCTCCGCAACACTTTCCAGCAAAGTTGGTTGCGTTCTGATGTTACACTGAGCATTTCCCCATTGGCGGAAGTCAGCACCATGGGTTGGAAGGAGGAAAATCCACAGCACAGTGACAGACTATGGGCTCATGATAACTTAAGACTGCATGTTGCAGAGCAGCATTCTTGGACCTGGTGCTGTCCGGACATGTTTGACTAAAGCTCCCAGAATGCTGGCTGGATGAGGTTGGATGAGAAGTCCAATATGTCTGGAGGGCAACCAGAGTGGGGAAGGCTGCTGTCCAGGGGAATGAGGAGCTTCCAAGCCTTATAGCATGCAAGTTCTGTGCTAAGGGGTCTCCTTAAAGTTTTCTGAAATGTCTCCCGGGAAGCTTCTGCTCAGCAGCCATTTGCCAGTTAAACAGCTCCGGCCAGAATGAATGGGGGCTCCCAACAAGACTTGTGTGTGTTTCAAAAGCCGCCACACAGGCAGTCATGTCAAGTCCATCTCAGCATGATAAAGAATTCAAGAGATTGCACTAGAAATGTGCTATTCGACACACAGAATAATCCAGGACAAATCCCATGTACAGAGCTGTACAGAGAAGCTGTAAATGGTCGCTTCTAAATCGGAAGCACTGCACCGTCTGACGCTGTGGAAAGGCCGCATATTAAAGCCCCCAGACCCACAAGTGTACAGGCATTGCTGTTTTGATTCCCTTTTTCTCTAAAAACTCAGGCATTCTATGGGAAGGAATATAAGGAAACCGGAAGTTCCACAAAGCATCGTTCTGCCACTGTGATTTCCCTGTGAGACACAGCCAGAGAATGGCATTCGTGTGCTAATGAGCAAGAAAATTCTCTCCTACATTGCCACACTCCGAGGGCACCAATGTTGAATTTTGCATCCACCTACAAGGTAGTGTCAGTGCCAGTTCTGGAGTGCCACCACATGGAGGCGTCCCTGTCAAGTGTTGCATGAAAAAGATAGTGCACCGAATCACAGCCTGAGAGCAGCACAGAACAAGCGTTTTTCAGGGCTTGCAACGCTGCATAGACGGAGTCTTGTGCAAAAGCATTTTACTACCTGAATACTAAAAAGAAAAGGTCTTTGACCTTCTAGCCTCCTCTGGAAGACCACACACAGAGACTGTTGGAGGAGATTCCTTGGGCTGCAGGCTGTTCCAAAAACCCATTACGGTGAAAGCCAACTGCAATGTTAATGACTCTACTATCACTGTACTACGGAGACAGGGGAACCTGAAAGGACACCCCATCTTTGTCCATTAAACTTTTCTGGAACTACAGATGAATGTGTCTGCTTGCCTAGGGGGGAAGGAAGAGGCTCCACGGTTTAAAACCTGCTACAACAAGCCGTGGCCCATCATCACCCTCTTAAAACGGAGCCTGCAAGTTGAAGGTATTCATTGGCGGAACATGAAGCTCCCCTAATCGGATGTCCCATCATGCACAAAGTCATGATGCAGGCCAGTGCCTAAGCACGCTGGCACGCCTACATTTTAGAAACGAGAGAAATGCACAGTGCTGACAGTAAACAGTACATGACGCACCGAAGTCCGTTACGTACTCCAAATCACATTCAATCAGTTGTGCCACGGGTTACACGGGAAGGCAAAGTGGTTCTATTACCTTCACATTTCTTTTTCAAAGCCCAACCCTATCCCGATCATTCTAAGGCCAAATTTTCCTTCCTTGATGAATTCCCCCTCTCCTTAAGGAATATATTCATCTTCAGACTCACGCAGAGGAACCACTATCTCACATTCATTAGTCAGGTCGTATGATCTGGGATATCCTGAAGAATTCCACTGAACCCTAAACACTCCGTTGCTGATGTAGAGATAATGACACAGGAGTCCTAAATACAGTGTCTGTGTAGTCCCCATGGTGAGATGACTGCCAGGTGACCCGAGCCGGAGTCATCTGCAGCGAGGACAGACCTGCTCTCCAGCACTCGCTCCACCTCACGGCCAACTTGCTCTCCTCCGGGTAGCATCCAGACTTTTGCTGAGGGAAGACGCTAGGGCCTTATGGCCAGTGAGCAGATAAATGGTCAGGAGATGTTGTTAAATGGCTTCCCGTGGGTAACAGCTGTTAGGGTTCAGAACCCAGAGGTTCTGTTTGCACAGACACCAGATTTCAGAATTGGTACGTTAGGCAAATTCATCTGGAAAGCCTTCAGAGATGGATATACATTTTTCTGAGGCCTTCCCCATGCATATGCAGCAAGTGTAGGTGCAACCAAAAATACCACACACGGCAATCCACAAGCAGAAAAACTGCATCTTGATTCCTGCGGGGAAATACCTCCCATGTACAAATTTTATAACATCTGATATAGCTATTCACTTCCTGAATTAAGGGAGACATTCATTCTACAGACTCTGCAGCACAGATAGTCTAACAAGGTCAGATAGAACCACAGTGTTATAATCCCTTGTCTCTTCCCATTCTGTGGGTATTTTGTACAGTTCTGGTTCTCACACTTCAAGAAAGATGCAGGCAAACTGGAAAAAGTTCAGAGGAGGGCAAGAAAGATGATCAGGGGATGGGAAACAAAGCCCTTCAAGGAGAGATTGAAAGCCCGGGGATGTTTAGCCTGGAGAAGAGAAGGGTGAGGGGAGATGGGATAGCACTGCACAAGTACTTGAAGGGCTGTCACAAAGCGCCTCTTCTCAAACATCTCAGAGCGCAGGTCACAGAATAACAGGCTCGAGAAACTCCAGATTCCGGCTAGATATCAGGAAGAATTTCCTCACTGTCAGAGCAGTACGACAATGGAGCAAATTACTAGGGAGGTTGTGGGCTCTCCCACACTAGAGGCATCCAAGATGCAACTGGACTGAGAGGGACGACTTAACTGAGTCCTGCACTGAGCAGGGGATTGGACTTGACAGCCTTATAAGCTAGGCCTTTCCAACTCTACCATTCTACAGTTCCAGTGGGAGCAGATGATAGCTCCCATGTCTACCTTCAAATATGCTTCTACAGTTACAGTGGGGAAGGGGCTTCAGCAATGCAACTATACCTGGAAGAGTCACAGGCAGCAAATGTCAATAAAAGCCAGTCTACAATAGCACAGTGGGGACTTTGGCGAGACACAACCATAAGACAAGTCACAAACCCGAGCCTCACGTTGGAGAGGGAGATAGAGATACATAAGCAAGAGAGCAGGTTATGGGCCAGGCTTGTCTGCTTCAGGCAACCACTATGAAACTGGACGGAGGAGCCAAAGTGAAGCCTTACAGCCTACTCAAAACTAGACAATCTCAGCAGCCTGGAAATGGATGAATATCCAAGCTTCTGAATATTTGAAAACGGACAAACGCTAGTAGCAAAAGCAGTCCTGTGTGCTTATACTGCATTATTACAAGAATAGAAACAACCCAAATAAACTTGGTTGGGTTACTTTGAGTTGGGTTTCCCGCCTCCATATTTAGTTTCCAGGTAAACAAACCTAATAATGTTTTATTTGTATCACTGGGAACAACTCCGTTATCGTTATCTTCTGTGCATCTCCATTGAAACAAGTGCCAATCACAGGATCATCCAAATAAATTGCTCATGACGAGGTCAGCACGACCCACCCTATCATAGGACATTTCCACCCACCTACGAAACTGAGGGATGTCCCATGCATGCTCGTCAGACTCGAGGCTCAAAGGAATCCCCCTGCAAACAAGAAGGGAATTTCTCGTGCCAAGACTTGCAAGGACGGAGCAAAGGCTGCTGAAATTATGGGACTTTGCCATCTTTTCAACCTGAAGCTTCTTGTTAGGTCAACAGCATTGGTCATTTTTTTAGTGATTTGAGTAAATGTAGTAGGCTTATAAAGAAAAAAAAATCTAATTTTATCATGGTCAAATTAATGCTGGTTTAGAGCATTAAGTGTTGGTTATTGCTAAAGAGAAGGCCATAATACTTGCTGCTAGTTGCCTACCTTGATCTCCTCAGGGCATCTTCGTCTGGATCTTGCACTGCAGGTGAGAAATTGATGCCATTAGCGGAAAAAACAAGAACCTCATAATGTAACTACAAGGAGAAATGAGGCAGCAGTTCAGGCTTCCATGGGGCCAAACCCTTCCCCAAGCTGGTGCCTACCATATCAGTTGGATAACAATTTCCATTATCCCCAACCAGAACCATGCTGGCTGGGATGGTGGTAATTGGAGTTCAGTGCAACTGGGGGCTTCAGCTTGGGCAAAAGTGAGAGAAGAGATTCCGAACTGGATTTCTCAATGCTGCCTTCTCTCCCTCTTCCCTGCATCCATTTCTCAGTGAGAATCACCTTCCCAAAGCTGCTATTAGCTAAGGAAGAGAAAACATACAGCTGCACATTGTACCTGTATTTTCTCCTATCTGTACACAACAGCAGTTTTACAGGGAGGGATAAGCTTTTGCATCTTCAGGGGATTTGCTCGAAGAAAGTTTAATCCTTGACTCAAGTGTTGTGCTTGCAATCTAAATGGCCCCCACCCAGCATGTCTGCCGTTTGTGAAAGCAGCTGGGAGAGCCAGTCACAAATCTGCAACAAAGCGGGTCGTCTGGCCATGGTGCATAAAAAGTCTTAATAATTAGGAAAATAATAGCCAGTAAACTGATTTTCTATATGTGAAAACAGTGGAAATACGATTTTGTGTTTCTTTACTCAAGTGTTGTGAGGGACCTCTTCCATCACAGGGTTGGTTGTAGCTAGATGATAATTTCTCGACTTGAACTATGCTGAATAAAAATATATTTCTAATTTTTCTTCCTTTCCAAATTCTGGTTAAAGTGTTAGTTTTAATGCATAATGAGTATTCCAAATTCCTTTACCCCAATTTTCAACATAGAGAGCCACTTGGGTCTCCATTTTTGTGCCATTTTGATTTTCATTGTAGTTCCCCCCCCCAAATTCTTAATGACCAAACTGAACAATGCTATAGAATCAGAGGACAGAATTTATGATATGATAAAAAAAGCTTCTGTGACATTTTCTATTCCTCCTTAATTTGAAATTTGGAAATGATTTGTTGCAACGAAATGCGCATTCCATCAGCATATTCTGTCTACAAACTGTTTTGATTTTGAACATTATCTTTCCAGCCCAACTGGATAACCTGCACCCAGAGATCAAAAATGGGAACTTGGCCCCACTTCTCTTGCTGGTACCAAAAGCTGCCACTGTGCAATTCTCCTGTAGGGATGTAAGAAAAATGTGGTCCAGTTTGCAACTCTTGAGAATATGTCTTACTCACAATCCCAAACACAAACAGGAATACTCTTGTTTGGAAATGTGTACTTGCATTCAGAAGTGTGTGCAAGGGTCCATCCCCCTCCAATCAGAATTTTCATGCTTTAGTTTATGGAAAGAATACACATGTTCAAGCAGAAAAAGGCACACTTCAAAAAATGAGCCAGACCGCTGTAGAACTGTGGAATGCAAATGAGGAAAATCAAAGGGGAATATGAAGAACTTCATGTTCGCCCATTCCTCTCTTCCTGGACCACCAGGTCATCATGTTAGGCACTGTCATGCAATGGTTTTGTTCCACCGTGTCCAACGTGACAGAGGACAACCATTAGAGTAGATCTTGAGAGTTGGTGTGTAACTTTCCATAAGCGTCTATGGCATTTAATGTCTAGATTGGGGGCGGGGGAATAACCTCAGCTAGCATGGCTAATTGTGAGGAAGGATGGGACCTGTACATCAAAGCATCAGGAGGGCCACTAAGTTGATCTAGACGATGCCACTGGAAAAGGTCATCTGGCACTTCAAAGAGATGATCCCCAGCCTCATGCCTTCACTCCTAAGCTAACTTACAGAAGCTCCTGGAAGGAAAGCAACTCACCCTCTCTTTTGTTCAGCAGCTACCTGAACCTGCCAGAAAGCCTATCCAGGAAATTGGGAAGCCCTTTTGAACAAAATGGGATGAGTACAGGCAACCGGGGGGGGGGGGGGGGGAGTTATAGGACCACAAACTTAGCAGTCCGCTGCCTGATTTGGGGCAATTCCCTCCTCCCCCAGGTCTTGCAGCACCACGTGGCACCCTCAGGCCAACACCCAAGCCTGTGCACTCCGTAATCAAGACCAGCCTAAAGAGAATTAAGACCGCAGATGCTCCAGATGGCCAGCCTAGGCACCTTCCTTCCGCAGCACCACTTGCCCCAACTGGTGCCGACCTCTGCTTCTGATAAGCTCGTGAGAAGCCCTTGTTTGCCTCCTGAGAGAGAGGGCTAGGAACCAGTGCCAGCGTAGTGATGAAGGTCACCTTGCCCAAGAGACCCTCCCAACCCTGGGGATGGCCCTCTGTGAAGTAGAAACTCCTGCTGCTAGAAGCTGGACCTTTACAGCCACGGCCCTGAAACTATCTACTTCTGGAAGGATGGATGGATGGAAGGAAGGAAGGAATTGCATTCCTTCCTTAAGGATGGTACAACCTTCCTTTATTGCCATGGACTTTTGTGTGTCTTTCTTAGGTTGATTTTTCTGACTTCCCAACACATATTCTAGTTACTTATTCAGTTTCCTTAATTGAGCTCCATTGTAGGTTGCATTTGCTGTGTGCTGTTACAAACCACTTTTGAATGAATAAATACATAATTCTAGTTCCTTTGCTAATGTGATACAGTTTAGACTTCTAAATTAAATTAAATTAAATTTGAAAAATGATAAGAGAAAAAACTCTTTTAAAGGCCTCATGTCTATCATCAGTTCTAATGAGATTAACCGAGTTCTCTCCTAACAGAAACCTGGGACATTAGCTTATACTGGTCGGAGATCTGTATTAGCTCACAGCAGTGGAATTTGGAAAGGAAGATCTCTGGGATCCTTGACTCCTGGTATATCAAAGAGGCAGGAGAAAGAAAGAATTCTATCCAAGAGGTGAACTGGCACTTCCCAGTCTGACTTACTGTACTCAGTTCCTGTCATCTGAGCCAGGATGCGGAAGGACTTGGACTGCAAGTGGGAAGAACGGCGACTCCAGTCCTCAAGCTCATCTTCAGACTTGTTCTGAGTTTTAAGTACAGCCTGATACACTGGAGAAGCACTGTCTACATGACGATCTTTAACGGGGAGGGAACTGCAATGCAGAAAGAGGTACACTGTAAAACAGCTAACGTGGCTTTGGCCCTCCCTCCCCCAAAACTGTTCCTGCAGTTTGTCTCCAGAGCCCTTATTTCTGCAGAACGATAGAATATTTTTTGGAAGATGTGCGTTTGGCAGGATGAATTGGGGAGACAAATCTAAATTGCATCTGTTTTCAACACGAGAATGAGGATGAATATCATCATTGTCATACTGTTAGCTTTCTTGGGATGATCAGTACACGTGGGTCATTCCGTATTGCAAGATCTAATTAACATACTAAAAAGACCCCATTCCTGAAAAGACCAGTAATTAGCCTGGAATTATCTGAAGCTCCGATCAACTGTTTACAAAGAAAGCAGCACAGAGGTGCTCATGATCCCAGCATATCGCCTGTGACAGTTTATGGGTTTTCTAGCAGCTGCTTGAAGATCTTATGCATGCAGCCACCACACTAGGACAATCCCAGGAAATCTATGCAGTGCGATTTTTCTGCCCTACAGCCTTGGGATCCAATGGCATGCTTCAGATATCCTGCTGACTAAGTTTAGATAACACAATAATCCATGCCCAAGAGTTGAGTATGAGTTAAATGTGGCTTGTCACTGAACCACAAGTTGTGGCTGCAAATGATTTATTGTATTGTCTGAATGCAGCCACACTAACGATTCATGGTTTCTCTTCTTGGGTTATTCATGGTTAACAAATCATGGCTTGTTAGCCAGGCTGGGTTCAGATGATGTGATAATCCACATTTCAATAATAATCATAGTTCCATAACAACTGACATTCAACCCACCCTTAATCCTTGAGTGGTGGATATATGCTGTCTAAACCCAGCCACTGTGTTTTACAAACAATATTCTCCATGGACTGTGCAGCGCCTTTTCTTTTTACTATATCAGCAACTGCTGATTAGAACTGAACAACTGATAAGATTGACAGCTGTAAAATGATGGCCACTGAATAGTAAACCTGACAGCAATAACTTGAAGGCCACACATAGATTGCTAGCCGATTTGGGCAAATCTTCTAACTTGAGTGTTTTTGTGTATATATCCTGGTTCCCAGAGTAACAGACTGAAATGATAAGCAGAGAAGGAGCTGTTAAAAGAAAAGCAGCTAAATAATTACAGAGGCTTGCTTGAAATTGTCAAAGGGCCTATATACTATTGTTTATTTTATTTCTTAAGATCCATGATTACTTTTTTTACAAGATACCCTGAGGTTTTACTACCTCTCTGCTGTATCATGAAGTGTGTACATACCCAAGGATCTTTTTTCAACTTCCCTTCTCACAGTGGGGCACTTGAGACGTAATGAACATGATGCTGAGAACGCAGGTGGTAGCTTGAATGAACAAGGATGGGAACTGCTCTATTCATAATCTCACAGAACAATCCAATAGTCACATAAAACACAATAGGTGCCACAATGAAAAAAATGCTAGCAAACGAACGTCTTGGAAGAAGAATCCATTCGGATCCAGTCTTCTGCTTACAATGTGCAGTGGTTCATGTACTAGAGGACTAGAACAGAGCTGAGGAACTCTGACCTTCCAGATGTTATCAGATTCAGGCCTAGCCAGCACAGCCAATTGGCAGGGGGCATAGAAACATCCATTCAATAACATCTGGAGGATGGAGGCTTCCTCTCAAAACCTTGCTGGATCAGGCCAAAGCCCATCTCATCGAGTTTTGCTTCCCACAGTGGCCAGACAGATGCCCCTGAAAACTCATGAGCAAATCATGATAGTAGCCTTCTTTGTGCTGTTTGTCCCTTGCATCTCACAATCTTGCAGCAGACTGGCTTAACGCTTGCAGGGTTAATAGCTGTTGACAGACTTCAGCTCCGTAAATTTATCTAACCCTTTAAGCCATCCAAGCAGATGGCCATCACCTTATGCTAGTGAATAAAGTAATCATGTCTTCTGAAAAGAAGTGTTTTCTTTTATCCATTTTGACCCATTAGCTGAAGAAAGGTGGGGTGGGGTGGGGGGAGAGAACCAGCAACAACAGTATAGCTCTTCCAAATTCAGCCCTTTGTTATTTGTATCATTGTTCTTTTAAACTAAAGAACGAATCACTGAAAGTGCCACCCGTCATGGCACACTACAATGACAGAAATCAAGAACTGTAATATTTATTTTGCATCAAATGCAACCAAAGGTATTTGAAGATGTTTTGGTAGTATATTTACCATATAATTATTTACATTTCTACTCTGAAATAAGCCCCACTGAGTACACTGGGATTTGCTCACAGCTAAATGTATATAGGACTGCAGATCTACTGCCGTGACTTTTCTAATGAATTCATTTCCTCTATACAGTGGTATAAAATTGCCATTGTGTCACATATGATACAACAGTGATAATCTGTTTAAAAATCAGAAAGCAGAAACAGAACAAAGTAACGGACTTCAAAAAGGATATCCTTAAAATATCATAACAAGTTTTAAAAAAAGAACTGTCCTGTCATTAACGGTTGGTTCTTGATATATTATTTAAATTGTTTCATTTAAAAATCACTTCTTAAGAAAAAAATGGAACGTGAGCAGCATGGTGCAAGTGCCCCTCAACCAACCCGCAAGCTTGTACGTGGCTCCTGCATAAAGTCAGATGCCTCTTCTCCAGGGTTGGCCAGTTATCTTGAGCCAAATAACCGGTGTTTATGCTGTGAGCCTGAGCATGTTTACCTGGAACCAAGGCCCATTCCAATTCACCTGGGCTTTTTGTTTTCCAGGTGAGTATCGTCAGGTGCATAAAATCCAAAGTGAACTCAATGAAAACTGGCAAGTTATCCTTCCAAGCTATCCCAGCCTGCAGTCTGATTTCCTCTCTGTTTGCCAAACACTGTTAACTTCAAAAGCAATGGTGTCTCCTCTGGGCCAATATGACAATTAATTCTCATTGTTAATGTTGTTGCTGGCAGTGGCATCTCTCTCAGCTTTCCTTTCTGGCTTCTATTCCTTCTCCCCTACATTGTTTGCCCAGTGATGCTGCCTCTTCAAAGACCCAGAAGCAACCTGGTGCCCTCCAGATGAGTTGGACTGCAACTCTTATCACACCCCCATTGGCTATACTGGCTGGGGATGATGGGAGTCCTAGCTCAGCTCACCTGGAGGGCATACTCACAGGGAAGGCTGTCCTAGGGTGTTTTGTATTCCTATATAATTGTTACAAGCATGACCCTAAAATGTTATATTTGACAGCTTCTTTGGCCACACCTCCTCATCTGATCGAAAAGTAGCCTTTTCTACACAAAAAGGTCACATATATGTTGGAAGACAGAACAAAATCGGCCCCATCACATGGTCTGAAACCAAATGATGCAGGAAGCTTGCGGAAACTGGACTGCCAAGGAACCCCGTGTGAACCATTTGCTGTTTGGGTGAAAAGGAAGGTATGCCATCAATGCAATAAATGCATTTTAAAACTGCCTGCAAATAACTTGGCTTGGTTCATAAAAATAATAAAAATGAAGCTGATAGAATCAGAAAAATGCTAAACAGACATTCAAATCAACTGGATTTGAGGACAGTCAACATTGAACCGTGTGACATGGACACCACTTTTGCCCAAGCAAGACTGCAAACTTGTGGATGAACTTAGAACAGTAAAGCTGAAATGGATTACATGGAAAGCACAGTATTACATCTGCTGGGGGAAATGAATGTTTTGCAAGAAAGAAATTAGGAAGCTCAGAAAAATAAAAAGGAGGAGGAGAAGTAGAAAAGAAAAATAAAACTGTGAGAATAATTGATGGCACTGAACCAAACACATTTAGAGAGCTTTTCTTAGTTAAAAAAAAAATCATGGAGACATCATACAGGTTGGAAGAGAACTCCGCTCTCATATGGAAGGCATGTGCGAAGAATGTGTGAGGTTTTCTTGCACACTCATGTCTAGAATGTGTATCTTCCACAAGGGTCACAAGACATGCCTCCAAAAGGGAAAAAAGAAAAGAAAGAAAAAAGAATGTACTAATGCTGTCCTAACCAAAAATCCATTGTCAAACATTATTTTTTTTGCTTTTGGAACCTTTCAGAATCTAATGTACAAAATGTATATTGCTCATAACATGGTTTCACTGCAGAAGAAATCAGTTTACCAAACTCAGAATATGACTTTTTGCATTTTCTATGAGCTGCTGCTGTTTCTTCTGGTCACCAAGTATATGCCATTTGATACAAGTTTATACTTGCTTAGAATAGAGCCATGGAAATTCACTTGAGTTGATCTCATTTGGTTCACCCTATTTTTGGTCATTTTAATCTACTGCATATTTTCCAAAGAAAGTCAAACAAGACAGATCATGTAATACAGCTTATAAGGAGCAGGGCCACTTCAATCTGCAGCCGGAAATTTGCATAGGTGAAGGCTGCCTAACGGGGGGAAGTCCCTCTGTATTTTAGAGATCAGACTAGTTCAAACCTTTCTCTGCCTGACATTCTAGGAGGTACAGTATGTCAGCATGCATGTATTTGCAGTGACAGATCATTCTAGCACGCAAATGTTGCTTGCATAAATCACTCTAAGACTGCACATATAAGGACACATAGACACCCCCCCCCCCTTTAAAGTCCATGAAGTTTCATTTGATGGACAAGTGCTTCCATTTGGTGGAATTCCATTGTAATTCTATCTAGCATTTTTTGGGAGTTTCTTCCTGGAAATCTTTCTGTGATGGGAAAAGAGTCAATGCTTTGATGTAGGGTGATCACCCGTGTGGCAGATTCCACCGCAGGGCTACCAACAAAATATCGGCCAATTCAGTCATTAATGGTTGCTGAGCCTGCTCCTTCCCTCCCACCACATGATCAAGCCAACATATGATCTGCAGGCTCTAAATGCACATCCGCTCATGCAGATGCGTAGGTCACACAAGCCTTCTTACTAAAAAAAGATGGCGGCATCTCCACGTGGCCCATCCCTATTGCGCATGACACCATCAGAAGGACGGTAGCTGGAAGAAGGGCACGGGCATGTCTCGACCAGATGAAACCATGAGTTGGCTTGGCTGCGATCTCAACTGGGCCATTAAAGTTTTACATGCTTTCAACTCTGGTCCGCTTGCTTTGCATCACTGAAATTAGCATTGATGCATGCTAAATGTCCTTAAAATCTAAAGAATTTGAAAGAAGTGGGCCAAATGTAAAATAAGGAGGAGGCAAATTTATACTTTGCACTTCTTTCATTCTATAGAGTTGGAAATATAAATCTACTTACGCCAATGGAGAGTCACTGCCATACGATCAAAAACCCATGAAAGAGCATTGAGTGTTTGGGGTCCATCAGTGAGGAGAGTTGGGAAGTGCACAGGAGAGCAACATTAGTATGAGAAATTAACAAAACCCAAAAGAAATGTGTAAAAGTGGGGTGGGGGGAGAGAGAAGAAACGATAATCAATAGAAAGGAGCGCATGGGAGTACATCTAACACATCAGCAATCAGATAAAGCTTGCTGGTTATCCGCTTTAGACAGGTTGTTAGAGATCGATTTGCCACACTCTTCCATCCTGTGCTTGAACTCACACACGAAGCAGTCAAAAGAGAGACCATTTACATGGCAAGAGGACCACACACCCACACCCACACCCACACCCACACACATCAAAAGTAATTTCCATTCAAGTACTGGAGTTGGAGATCCGAGACAGATGTCTTGATCAGTGCAGGCAGGTTACTGGTGCCTTGCAAAAGCACCACATATTAATGAGCTGTCACGCATTGACCAGGAATGATAATGTGCTGAGTGCATGGATGATAATCATGTGCAGGGAAATGCTGTGTGCTGGTAACACATGGGGAGAAGTTGCTCGTGGGGACTCCAGACAGTCTGCAAGGATGCTCGCTCCCACACAGAGCAAGAGACATCTGGGCTTGCGTTCTTCAGTCTGAATAATGCAGAGGAAGCACTGGGCAATGCGATCTAAATGTATATGGATAACGTGCGTGTGCATCTTGTCCCTGCCAATCTGCATTTCTAGCTGTGCAGACAAGGAGGCAGATCTTTGGGTAGGCTTTTCACATTTGGTGGAATCCAGTTCAAATTTACCCACATGTAACAACTGTTCTATTAACACGAGGCCTTTGATGTACAAGTGAGCTGCCGTTTGGATTGTGGCAATTGCCTAATAACTCAAGAAAAGAGGAACAGGAACAACAAAAACGCCTCTGAGAAATATCCAGACTTTTGATTATCCTTGCAACAAAAGGTTTCCAGAAAACAGCATTAGAGTTACGTTTTTAGAATAATTATTCAAGGAAGACATAATCAATGTTCATGCTAAAATGGAATGAGGGGGAATTGTTACTTGGGTAAGTAATCTCCATTCTCTTTAGAAAACCAGTGAACTGTCTGCTTCCACCCCCCCATCTGCAATAGGGTACTCAAAGTGTAGAAAGTGGTCTGGGATTACCAGTCTAAGCACCTGGAGGGCACTGGTCTGCCCTGCCCAGCCCTGCCCTATGAAGTGAGATGGGGATTTGATTTGAACTGCAGCGTGGTTGGTGGAAGAAGGGGACTGACCCCTTCTCCGGGCCCTGTTTTACCATCCAGTCTCCTGTTTTTTAGCTGCTTTTGTCCTGGTAGAAGTCATTCCTGGTCTCAGAGTTCCAGGATCTCCCCACATCTCTGCCTAACTATATTTAGTTAGGAATTAGGGGCATCTCTTAAAATCTTGGGACAGTCTCAGTTTTTAAAAAGATACAACCTGGGGTCTCAGGGGGCCCACAGACACCTCTCTGGGGATCTACCAGGCTTCCCACCCCTCTTCATTTCTATTCTGGGATGCTGCAAAGGGCAGTGTCAGCATCCGGTGTCCTCTTGATCGGAGTTGCAAAGAGTGGCTCTGTGTTTTGGAGCTCAGACACAGAATTCCAGGTTGGTAACGTCAAGCAGTCCCTTCCTCCCAGGTTCCTTGACCCGGTCTTGCCATCCCCTCATTCTCCACGATGCCCCTCAAAGGATGACCCAATACAGCCGGAGGGAGGGAAGGACCACGTCACATGCAGCAAGGAAGGTTGGATGTACACCGAGGCATCACCTTACCCGGCGAGTTCACCACCCTGGGCCTGGGCCTGGCCAGCAATGGCATCCATGATGGCATCCTGAGAATACATGCTGATGGGGGTGTTATACTGGGCATGGATGATGGTAGCCTTGCCACCAGGCCCTTTCACCTCGATGGGTTTGTGCGTGGACAGTGCAGAATCCTTCAGGACGTTGGGGTTGAAACGCTCCACGTACTCCGTGCTGGGAGAGGGAGAGTGAGGATCCAGAAAGTGAGGGGAAGGAGGGAGAAAAGGACAAAGAGGAGATGGTGAAAAGGAAGGGGAGGGGTGAGAGCATCCGAAGTCACACTCACACACGGAGACAAAGCTTTTGAGCGGACGGCCGATCAAGCACCAGGGAGCAAGTATTACAGGAGCCACAGAAAGAGGAGAGCTCTCAGCTGTCCCCGTGAATACAGTCGATGTCCTTGTCGTCGGAAGAAGAAAGGCATGAATAGTTAATGCTCCCAGCAAGGGCCTTTTCACACAGTCGGGGTTTGGCAAAATAAATGCATGCGTTTGGCTTACTCATTGCCCACAGCGGAGCTTCTGGCCTACTGTTTGCGCAGTTGTGGAAGAGACGCCGCAGCACCCCAGCACTCAAAAGTGCCACATGGGAAAGGGGGCTTCTTGCCTTAGCTGGCACATTCAAGGCTGGACGGAATGTGCAGGCGTCATGGATACCCACTGGATGGTCTCCATGATGCAAATGGGGATGAACAGCACAACCGCTGCCTTTGGAAAAGGGTGTGGTTTTCTTTTTTAACAAGTCACTTTAAAAACCTTCCAAAATTCCTGGGTGGCTGTGCTCTCCTGTGCTCTTCTGTGCACCCAGCCGGCAATATATTTAAGTGGTGAAGAAGAGCAAGGACACACACAACTCACAGTGTCATTTTGTGAACTGGATATTTAATTTTTTAGTAACATATTTTTAAATATCCAGCACTCTCCTGGAATGACCTACATAACCAGACAGGTGTATATGTTTTAAATAAGATGAACAACAGAGCAGTACTGCTCCTGCAGAAAGACTTTCTCCTCACCCCTTGTATGTGGGAGAGTTTTCATGCTACTGCCAATGCTTGCGAGCTTGCGGGAGTTGCTACCCAAAGGATAAATTGATGCTGAAATACAGTTTCTATGATTGTGTGGAAAGGCCCAGAGAAAAACACAGATGAACTCCTGTTGGGAAAGTGTACAGTACATGAAGCTATCGGCTATTAAGTTCTTCCAGTGCTTTCGGTGACTCTGAAATCTCCCAGTTAATGTTGAGTCCTTTGCCCTTCAGAAAAAGGAATTAAATTTTAGTGTTTGGCTCGTATCTTGAGCCAAGCAAAGGGTGCTTCCAGGTGGGACAGCTCCTGGCACTGCTAATCAAAGCACAGTGTGGTACAGCTATCCCCTCTTTGCTCCCTTCGTGGATGCTTTTCTGATAAGAAAAAAGACGGAAGAGGTAGTGAGAAAAGTTGGGAGGGTTACAAATGGAAAACAATGGCATCCCAATTCCGTCCCCCCCCCCCTTCACATTTTGTAAAGAAGGCAGAAGATTGCACAATAAAAGTGACATCTGGAAACACCCAGTCAGAAAATTAGAAGCACGCCGGTTATTCAACCGAAAAGGCTGACCTCACATGACTCTGTTGGGTCGCCTCCCAACACAACCACTCCATGTGGCTGCGTGGAACCAACACAAGAAGCTTCCATTCCTGGATGGAGAGCTGCATGGATGAAAGGAGCATGATTCTCCTTCTGATCTTCCCGTTCATGAAGCAATTGTACTGGATTCCCACCCAACAAATCGAAGTGGCCCTGCCGCACTCATGAAAATCAGGAGGATTCAGCTGTGGACAGCCCTGCTGTCTGAAAGGGGCTTCTGTCCCAAAGAGGAAACACGAACTGGGGCGAGCCAGCCTTGCTCCCTGTGTCGCTTATGATTCTTGAAGCCCAATCCCTCACATGTTTAATCAGGCATAAGTTCAATGAGGCTTCAGTTTCAAGGAAATGCGCAGGAGTTTGCAGCCTACATCTGCCATTAAGACTTTGGACTTCTCTACATGAAGCACTGAACACAGCGCCTTCCAGAGGCTTCTGCCATTTTCTTTGTGGAAGGAAGAGCATGTCCTTTGCACATTTTTTCCCTTTGCTGCCTTCCTCTGTGTTCTTATGTGTGCTCTTACACAACCACAAGGTGATGCGGCATTAGAGAACAGAATTATGCTGAGCTTCTCATTCTGACTTCCCAAATAATTCCTGACTTTCCTGACTCTGAAAAAAGCTGTGGCTGCACCACAAGGGGGAGGCCCTGGAGTGGGCTGGCATCTGTGGGGAAAAACATGAGTGCACAATGAATTTTCTTTCTGTTTCATGAACGTGCATGGAAGCAACCAGTCCTTACTCCAATGTCACTTGGTAAGCCACCTTTTCTGAAAGTCTGTTATGCTGAAATATTGAAAGCATTAACGGCAGCAGCATGAGGAAGCAGCGGTGTCAAAAGGGGCAAGGTTCCTGTATTTTTAAAAGCTCTGATGTACAGCCACACTCAACAGGTTGTCTTTTGTTCCAGAACGACCCGGCAGCCACACCAGTGGAACGTTCACCTTCCTCAAAGCTGTCGGGAGGGTAAGAGCTTTTCAGTTACCTGCTTATTCAGTAGTGAGAGGCATTGATAAGGGTAGAATCCATGATTCAAGCAAGGCAGCGCGTGCACAAATGCTCGGAGGGGAGCAAGACCCACCATGGCATGGGACATCAGCATGCAAAACAAACGGACAGTGTTCACTTACAGGAGTTCACAGGTTAGCCTCTGAACGAGCTACTTCCTAAGGAGAAGCTGCCACGTGCCCCTGCACTGGCCGTGGATTCTGACCTCCACTAAAGCATCTGCAGCCAACAGGCCTCCTCCCAACCCAGAGAGCACTGCTCCCGGCAAGGGGGCTGCCCCTGCTCATCACAGGCTGGGCAGAGGTGCTCCATCTGCAGATGCCCAGGTCATGTCCTGCAGCCACTACAGGCCCGCAGAGGCTTCCTGCCAGCCACCACGGGCCCAGGGAGGGCTTCCAGCAAACAGTTTGTGTGGCACAAAAAGCCTCCCCAGACAAAGTCATACATTTGCAGTGACGTCCACAGACAAGTACATAAGGAAAAACTTTGCGGATATTCTTTGAACAGAAGCACCCGTGGCATTTCACATGGCTGCGCCAATGGGTTCTTTTAAAGTGCATTCGACTCGCAAGCTCACACAGCAGAAACACAGGCTCATCATGCTGCCCCCAAAAGGGGAAAAGGCCAAGCATGTAACACTGACATGCTGTTTAATACTAACTTGGCAGCAGGGTTGGCTATAACCTGGGGGGAAAGAAGGAGAAAAACATCAGACCAATAGATTTGCACTGCTGCTTGCTTTTAAGGCACAAAGCTTGTAAGTATTAACCAAACCTTATAAGGCTTTTGCAAACTCCAGTGCGAATAGGAACAGAAAGCCACTGTTATGTCCCAAACCCCGTGATATGATTAAGAGAGGGACAATGTAGCAGTTGAGGTTCAGCACTGGGATCATCAACCCGGGGCCCTCCAGCATCCCCCCTGGGAATTGCAGTACAACATTTCTGGAGAGCAGCTGTTGGGGAAGGCTGCCCTAAAACAACCAAAGCCAACGTCAACAAAAAGGAAGGGATATGCAGTCAGTTCCCAGAGTTCTGTCACATTCTGGCATCAAACCACACCATGAAAACCGGAAGGCGAAACCCCAAAGCTGGGTCAGATTCATTTCTGGCACTGAGCTCCACAGGTGAAAGCAAATGGGCTTCAGACACAGAGACCAGTGAGGGGGACAAACCTCCCATTTCCCCAGCCTTGTACTTTCAAATCCAATCCACGTAGGGGCTCCTATAGAAATGAATGGCTGCCATTCATACCCATGGGGGAAAGCACGGAAGAAATCGCATCAACAGTCTAGCTCGCTCCTTCCTTCCTTCCTTCCTTCCTTCTGTCCTTCCCTCCTTCCAAGTGGTGACCAGGACCTCAGCATGTCTGCTGGCTAAAACTGCACGAGATTTCCCCAGATATGACGGAGAGGCTTCCGGATTCACCTGGCTCCAGGGGCCTCACCTGTGCAGAAGTTATGGGCAGCCTTGCAATCCAGTGTGATCAGGGCACACATGACAACAACCCCTCCTGGAAGTCCTCAGCCTGTTCAGCCTTCCTCACAGCGGCTACTTCAAGAGTATCAATAACATTTGCAAGTCTACTTTGGCCCTTAGTTGAACGTCCTGGCGCTTAGTTGATGTGCATATCATTAGAAATGGGCCACAGGAGGTCTAAGGTCCCTTGACCAGGAAGTTGCTGTATCATGTTTCCCTTGCACCTGGGTTCAAGTTCAGCCTTCCCCAGCCTGGCGTCCTCCAAATATTTTGGTTTATAGCTCTGAGCATGACTACCACCAATGGCACCACTTCTCTGAGCCATTTCACACTACGGGGAGGGGTCCTCAGAGCTTCTATTCAACAAGGAGTTCCAGCCAGACCAAGCCCTCCAGGGATGCGTGTCCTGCAAATACTTTTGCGAGCAAGTGCCTGGCCCACTCAGACTTGTACCCTTGTTTAGCGTGCACCAAAAGCAGAAAAAGCAGGTGCAGATATAAGATGTGGAGTGGACTTGACGGATTGATGGTGAACACCGAAGGAGGCGTATGGTCCTATGGACTCTGGGTCCGTCTGCAACTCCTTCTGAAAAGAATAGGCTGGGACCTGCACTATTTTAAGCAGATGCGAGGGATAAGGAGTCTTGCACACATATCCCTTCTATAACTACGGCTTCGGATGCATTATAATCATAGGCAGCTTTGGAAGCCTCTCTTGGCTGAAAAACAGGGTATATGCATGTGAAAAAGAAACAGTGAGGGCTTTCTTTGCAACTCGCTTCCCAGGGGTTAATGGAAAAGAGAGGAAACGTACCCTGTAGGGACTCTGGTGTGCCAGGCCAGGCCCTCCTGCAATGGCAAATTTGTCGGGCTAAAGACTTCAAGTCCAGCACCAGTGCTTCTCACACTCAGGCATATCCTCCTGCAAGCTTTGTAAACCCGTAACCCAGCATTAATCCAAATATATCTGCCTGTCACAGAAACGCAGAGATATATTAGGACGAGGCTGTAGTCAGTGAGCAGATCAGGGATTCTATATCCATTTTAGGAAGGCACGGGACAGCTGGGCATCTGCTTACAGAGAAACATGGGGCAATAGTATCATTTTCTGAAGTGGTGGCTGTTGGCTGTTCTAATCCTCTAAGCTATGTCCCTGCACGTAAAACAACATTTTAAAGCACAGCGTAAGCCTTTGGTAACATACCCCTCGAAGAAAGAGGGGAACAACCACTTCTGACTGGGATTTCAAAAGACATCAAAGACAGAATGTAAACTCTTCACATTCCGGCAAGTCTTGGCAGTGACCACCTATAAGGGCTCCCTCTCTATACCATGACAATCTTATACTGGCTCAGTGGTTACAGATTTGTAGAAGTAGAAATTCCAGGTCCAGTTTTTAAACGGGTTTTTGTAATATTTACAGGGACAAAAGAGGGAGGCTTTTGCCAAATGCATCATCACACTAAAGACAAGGTTCCCTTCTGAACACCCCTTTAAGGTTCTGAGGTTCTGGCTTTTCAGTCTTTGTTTTTTGAAGGTTGGTTCTCCCATGTGAGCCCAGATTTTGCCTTCCCTCATATTCCACTTGGCTGCTGGGAGCTGGTCCCTTCCCTCTGGTTCCCAAACTCAAAACAGTACTCTGAAGTGTGGTTCTTGTATTGAAACTCCACAGATAACACAGAGCACAGTTTGAGCTCTAATCAGCCATCTACCAAAACTAAAAATAGAAGCCCCTGCTCAAGTAAAGAGTTGAATCCAAACTAGAAAAAAACCCTCAGCCCCTCCCTTTCAGGTAGCCCTCTGCCTCCACCCTCAGGGTGGCCCTCGCTGCTGGAGGGCAAGATGGCAGGAAGGGCAGACCCCTCCAAGCGAGGAGCGTGCCAAGGGCTGGGTCTCGCACCTGCTGCCCCTCCTCTCCTGGAAACACTTCCTCCCCTTCCAGAACAGGAGGATTCCCATCCACAGCCCGAGAAACTTCACTATGTGCAACTGAAGGAGCTTGGAATGCTTGGTCCCATTCTCATCCTCCTCCTGCTCAGAATTCAGGGATGGCTGCAACTAAACACTCTGCAGTGTGCGAGAGACTGGCCCACTCCCTGCCTTGGCTGTGGTTCACTCATGCCCCTTAATTTGGGCATTGCTATTCATAAGCCATTTCTGCCGAGATTTTCTATGGGACAAGAGGAGGTGCAACACTTCCCCGGATACCCGACCTCCCCAGAGAATGGGACCCCAGAAACCTTCCCCCTCGGTTCTGCCCTCTGTCACAGGGCTGAAGAATCCCTGGTCCACTGACCAGGTTCGTGCAACATGCTGAGCCGTGTGTGTGTAAGGATGCTGCCCACCAGCACTGTGCACAGCCGGAACCCTGATGGGCGGACTTGCCTTCACCAACCCCAACTAGCAAAAGTGTCTCCAGACGAATTAGGGAAGGCACTTCCACCTGTTGGCACCGGTGTCCCCCTCTGCATCGCGTGCCACAACGGAGCGTCAAGGAAGGGCATGCTGCTCCCTGCTCCCCTCGGCGTTCCCATGTGATATTCCCCAGGATCCCAGCTGGATGACTAAGGAGGAAGCGGGGGGCAGTGCCTGTGGGCCCCCACACTGTCCAGCCATTAGTCAGTCAATGCTGGGGCCTCAGAGCTACTTGAAGCCTAGGGAGACGCAATAGTCAGCCCAGGATTAACGTGCGGTATAAACCTGCCAATTATGTTGTTTATAGAGGGCAATACAAGACCTTTCAAGATGAGACAGAGGTCTCCTAGCGCTAGGAAGAAAGGTAGGGAATAAACGCGACAGATTGCATAGCTGCACAAAAGGCACTGCCCTTCCTTCTTGAGGGATGCTTTTGTGGAAAGGAAAAGAAGGGACTCTGCCCCATACAATTCCGTAAATGAGGGAGGGGAAGTGCAAGATTAATGCTGCACCTGAGAAGCATCGCATGAAAGCTAGGAACTGAAACTACTTTTTGTTGTTTTATGTTAACTAAATGCAGTTTTATCTACCTACAATGGGAACAAGGGATATGAAAAAACAGTCAGGCTGAGAGAAAATCCTTCCCATTTTGGAAATAAAACTCGTTTGCTTCAAAGTGCTCTGTTTAAATAAAGCAGCAAGAAAGCGAGAAGTTTCTGATGCAACATCATTTTATATCAGAGTGGTTCTTCAGAGGTCACTGCAATTCTGTTGCTAATTGTCATGCAGAATGAAGAGTTCCATTAAATGGTAACCCAGATATATCAAGGATTATCTGTGATATTTATACCTATTGCAGTATTAAAAGAACCAATATTCTGTCCAAATGGAAGCCATCAATTACTTTTCATTTTTCTCCTTTTAAAAAAGCAGTGCTTCCTGAATACTTTCTATTCCATTTTTTTCCCAGACAACAATAGCAAAAATGCAGTTTAAGGAAGCCATGCCTGATGGAACAAAGGAAATCTTATGCTTGAAGAAATCGTGTATTGTGCAGTTTGGCAGTGTCAGATTGGACCTGTGAGACCATTGGCTTCTCCCTCCACTGAAAGCCTGAGGTGTAAAATTGAAATTCGGTATGGATCTTTCAAATGTCAAAAAGAACATTTAGGCTTGTCATTCTACACTGAAGACTGAGAATTTCAGCTTCCATTCAAAGTGACAAACACTGGCGATAGGAAGCATCTTAGGAAGTGTTTCTTGACTATATTCTTAGCATGCTCAAGGCACCTCTCTATTCTGATGTCACATCCCTAGAGGGAGAAAGACTGACACTATCATACTTGTCTCAAGCATATGACAGCATGAAAATGGTGCAGTGGATCCATTTCAAAGATGGAGCTCATAAATTCAGGCCTGCCGTTTCTTGGCCTTGAAAGTGACTGGATTGGTGGGAAAGTGCCAGAAGTGATATGGGCCGCCAGCAGCCCGAGACATTTCGCAGCCCGAGGTAGAGCGTTCAGTGCTCACCCGCAACCCAAATTGCAGAGAACCCAAATCTGAGACTATAGTAAAGCTCCAATATTAAATACATTAAATAAGAATTTGTTGGCTTTTCCCTTTGCCTAATAGTAGGGCAACAACTGGTTCTTATGTTCTGCACTCCCATTCTAGATCATCTTCCTAGGATCCCATAAAACAGATGCCACCGATGAGTCATGATGTAGTTTTCATAGGGTTCTTATTCCTATTCAGTCTTTGTCTCAAGTCATGGTCTTTTTCTGATTAAGGAACATTGAGTTCATTTCATGCTGGAAATTTCCAACGTTTGAATAATGGGCAAAGGATTTTCTGCTGAGGAATGCCTGGGCACCAGCTGTGAGATCCGGTAAAAGATTTTGGAGTATGTGTCTGGCCAGGGCTGACTCGGTAGTTACTTGCATCTGATGCACTAAGTGCACAGAACAATCTTGTGTACTACTGGACTGCAGATGGAAATTGGCTGCAGTGGGTAGGCTATATTTTAAGGAAAGTTAACCACAATTACAGATATTTTCATCAACGACCTTCTGAGAAGCTTCTGAGAAGCACCCAGAATGCTTCTAACAAAGACCAAGCATTTTCAGACAAATCTCAGCCTGACTCAGAAACCTTCACAGGACAACCAATGGACTCAAAAGACAGGCAGAAGTACTCTGGATTCTGGAAGAGAGGCACAGCCACAGGAACCCTGACATCTCCCGCCCCAAGCGGCTCTTCACTGAGGCTGCAAAGCAGCACTAGAGTTCCCAAGTTCTAGTCTCAGCAGCCAAGTCCATTCACTGAAAAAAGATGATTGTAAACCAGAAATTCCAGATAATAATTCCTCAGCCCCCTTTTAAAAAGGTTAGTTGTTTGCTGTGATGAATAAAGTGCATGAATGTGGCTTCTCCACAAATGTGAACGGTCTCTATTTTCTGTGGAGAATATGAACATACTGGAGTAGCAAAAGTCACATTCAGCAGCGAGCCAAGCGACTTTACTCTTCAGGCAGAGTCAGACTGTTGGGAGGCGCGAGCAAGCCGTGGGAGGACACTGCGGTGGGCCAGGTGGCCAGCTGGCCATCCCCTGTGCAAGCCCACCGCATTCAGGTGTGGCGCAGGATGCTGCCCTGTCGCCCGCGTGGAAGAAAGTTTCAACGGTTTGTCCAGTCAGCTTGTGGACATGGGAACTGTGGAGTCGTTGTCTTGCCCTTCACTTCAGGCAGCAAAATGTCTGGGGCCAGTGGCAGTTTTAGAAAAAGTGAAATCCAGAATCCTGAAAAACAGATTCTAGCCTACTCTGAAGAAGCCATGGCTCTCTGACTGCCAGTTGCTTGGGATGGAGAAGAGGGAATGGCTAGGAGCACTGAGTCCTGTTTGCAGGCATTCCAAGGGCACCCGACCAGCCACTGCTACTCTAGAAGGGATCCAGCAAGGCAAGTCTGTGCGCTCCAGATTTAATGACGAGTTCAGCACCAGTTGCACATTCACTATCCAATTAGCCATTTACAAAAGTTGCCCATTCCCCAGACTACCCAGACCCCATCGTCCCCAAACAAGTCGATTGCATTTACATACCCTCTAAGAAGTCCACCTTCTGAAGCCCTTCGTGTGAGACTTAATTTATGCATCTCAGCCATTTCCCTTAGAGTGTCTGCTGAGTAAAGGCCAATGGGGTTGTTATACTGCCTTGTTGGGCTCAGCTCATGTTTGGGGCTATTGCCATCTGTAATCACTGAGCTGGCTTTAGACCCTAGGTCACTTTTTGCTGGTGAGAGGTCAGAAGCCACAGAGGACATGGAAGATCTAACGGTGGTGGTCTTTAAGGAGGAGGCGCTATGTGTTAAGCTGGTTTCTTGTTTGCTGAGGTAGCCTGAACATGCTCCATTGCTTGCTAAAACGCTACTCATGGGCCCAGGCGATGTGCTAGTTAGAGGACTGAAGCTCACTCGGTTGCCATTAACTTCCAGAACAGTATCCTGTAGAAGCAAACATGCAGGCCAAAGAAAGAAAGAAGAAAGAAAATCATAGAACACATGCAAAATGGAAAGTTCTCCAGCTTTGGCATTCTATACATGTCAGTAAGGTTGCCAACCCTTGATTTTTTTAATTTTGTTTAATGGTGGCCCTTTGGAATCTGGCATGTCAGGGGGCAGAATCCGACAGTCAGATGTGAAGCCTGGGCAGAGCCTGAAGAGCACAGAGTTAATCCTGGATAAACCCAGAGTCTGCTGCTTTTCAGAGACCAACAGCAGTCACTTGGCAGGCGAAGACCATTTTATTTACGGAACCATTTCAATGCTGTCTAGTTGGCAACCCTACATATCAGACATTTGCAACAAAGCAGATACACTTTATAGGCTTGCATTAGTCAAGCAAAATTGTTAACTTCATCTCCCCCCAAATCAGCACATTTGAGTAATGCAAACACTATCAACAAAGCTTCCTGACCAAACAATGCTTGGTATTAGTTACTTTACATCTAATTTGATCATCAGAATGAATTGCCCCGTTGTTCTTATGGAAAAGATAGCAGATCCTTAAAGAAATTTGGATGGGAGTTAAATAAGTCTACAGCATATGCAAATGAACACCAATGTTGTTAACTAGAAATGCAAGGGCTAAAGTTTCTGCAAGAGCTCCATTTACAATTAGTTTCAAAATTAAGGGCCAGTCAGAGGCTGGAGTTCATGCTAATAAAGGCCGTGCATTATGGTTAGCAAAATCTGCTGCAAAGAAAGATCTATTAATAGTCTCTCTGTTTGTACATAATTTGCACAGAACTCTCAGTTGCAAGGCAGTAATTCTGTGCTTGTCACTTACAAATATCCATACTCTCTACTTGGGCTAAACAGGTAGATACTGGGCTGAGCTCAGACATCCTTTTTATCACTGCTAATTTGATCAACACGCAGAATCAATGAGGAAGACTGAAATGCTGGCAAGAGTCAGTACAAAGCTAACATTCTCCTGTGAGACCAAAGCATAACTGGGAGAAGGCATATTAATAGAGGCAATCCAAGCTAGCATCTCCAAGGAGCCATTCCAGCTATTCTGCTCCCCTTTGGTCCAATCCAGCCACTAGTCATTATTGATCTGGGAGCATGTGATGGCAACACACAGCACCTTACGGCATAAAATCTTTTTTTCTCTCCAGAACTACACAAGTATTTATGCGTTTCAAAAAACACAAGTCTATAAATAATTGTTCCGGGTGCAGCTTCCCTTGCTTTCGTTTCAAAGGTGTGAAGGTACCACAGAAATACCAAGTGGGTAGGAAATAGTGTTGAGCCCAGAATTCTCAGATGAGAACTGTGGATGCAAAATCTCTCTCTCTATTTTGTAGGAAGGAAAAGGGGGAATTAAACTGCTCCCCATTTTTGCCCTCATCTTCTTCCAGGGGGAGTGTGGTCTCCTACCCCCTGAAGCGACAGAGGTCACTCTTTGGCACTTGCGCCATTAAGTCCCCCCTGCCGTATCACCTGCATTATATTTTCCCTGAAAATTGCTGACCCCTCCCCAAATTTCACTGCCTGTCACAACGGGACAGCAAAATAGGGAAAGGGATATATTTCAGCTCAGCTCTATATTTCTTCTTCAGGCAAAACCCCTGGAGATTTTAAAAGGACACCAAGGAGATTTCAATACGGCAAACAGAATTTCTCAGTGGAACTGGGACATTACCATACCCTTGAATTAATGTCTGTGCTTAAAGTCAAATACTGATCTTAGACAGACCGCTATCGAAATACCAAGGGGAATGAGTAAGAATAGCCAAGTGACTGGTGAGAACCAGGCTGCTTCTGGTTCAAAGGGAAGCAGGACAGAACGAGGAGGGAAGGGGTGTGAATTCACCATTTGGAGGGCGATTCAGTTTGGAATCAACTCCTGATGTGGGCAAAAGCAGTCTCCACCAATTAGAGGGATTACTCCTTTGATAGATGCTACTTGCTAAGAACTCGCTCTCTATTATACAAAGCTAGCCCTGACTGGCCTGGCTAGCTCAACAAAACAGCATATTTTAGAAGACTTTCGCCTTAATGTGCTGGAAAGGGGAGAGACATGCTCAATGTACTTGCATTGGCTATGTTATCTGCAAAAAGGAGACTGGCTTGCCTGAAGAGGAAATATAAGAGACCTGCCAAGAATGTAAATGATGTTTTAAGACTGCAACTGAACCTTCCTGGGAAAAAGCACTTGGAAGATGGAAAATCCAGCTACACGAGATGATGGCTCAGAGGAGCTGGTTGATTTGTGGGGACAAGGAAGAGGGTCTACTTGAAGCAGGGGGTGTCTGGCCAGAACAGAGCCAGTGGAGTACTGGGAGCTTCTGGGAGAAACCTAGCACGATCTGGACAGTTTGAAAAAGAGAATATTTAAGATGCTTTCTAGGCTGGCTATAAGGAGAGGCTGTCTTTACTGAATTTTCAAACTCTAAGCCTAAATGGTCAAGAAGAACACAGCATTATAACACATTGTACAAACTAGCTGGTCAGTCCTAACAAACACATGTGTTGACTATTGACAATTTGTAAATGTCTCCTTTCACCAAAGCTCACAGCTGGCCCAGCCCTGGCTTGCTCCGAGTACAGCTATTATACCACTTGACAGAACCAAACATCTGGGGAGAGGGAAGTTTTATTATCCAAGGTGAAATTCACTGCAGGGTCACTGTAGAATGTCTCTGTGAGTTTTCATTCCTCCTCTGGAAAGTGGAAGAATTCATGGCATGTGTGGTTTTATTTATGCAGAATTTAGAAATGCCTATATATCAGTCACTATGATTTGTTGCTTGTTTTGTATTACACAAAGCCAGAAAATTGTGACTGGCTTCAAAGAACACAATAACCCACATTCAAGGATTGAGTGGGGGTTGTTGGTGAAACATGAGTTATTGTATTGTCTGAACCCAGCCACAATGAGAAGCCATAGTTTGCTAACCACAGACAACCTATGAAGAGAACCCATGGTTTATCGCTGGGTTGTAAAATGTGGATTGCTTGCAGTTAACAAACCATGCCTTGTTATTGTGGCTATGTTCAGACATCACAATAACCAATGTTCTAAAAACAACCCATAATTCAATGATAACCTACGCTCAACATCTGAACATGGGTTTGCATGTTATCTGAATCCAGTGTGTCATAAACTATTAATTCTTTATTTTTGTGGCATATGGGAAATCCAATCATTTGAATCAATTCTTAGCTAACCATTTCATTTTGGTTAAAATAAATCAGATTCAATTGCCCAGATAGGAAGCTGCTTTATATCCAGAGAGACCATTTGGTCCACCCGTGGCTCTCCAGACCATCAGACAGAGGTCTTTCCATCAGCCTCTATGCAGTCTGTTCAACTGGAGCTGCCAGGGAATGAAGTCAAGATCTTCCACATGACAAGCACACCTTCCCCTTCTCCTCTTCCATTGTCATGTTATATCCTACAGGTTACCAAAACAAGCATATGTGTTCTCTGAGACCCTCATGTAACTTTTCCACTGGCCAGAAGAGGAGGCTGTTACACTGAGCTTCATCTCTGGAGGAGAAAGCATTTCTGTCACCTTGTTTAAATACTTCATTTCCCGGCATAGATAGAATTAACCGGTCTGTTATTCCTGGGTTCTCACAGTATCTCGATACAAGGAGAATTCAAAAAGCTGGAATTTAAGTTCTCCCTGCGATGCTATGCAGTCAAAAGAGAACAAGACATAGAAGAAATCTTTTCAGCACCCCCCTGGACCGCTGACTTTTAAAAAAGACTTTCTGAACCAAGCTAAAATGTATTTTTATAGGGGACAATGGCATTTTTCCTCTCAAAATCTTGGGCGGAGATAAGAAATGAGAAGTAGATGAGGAAATATCTGACATCTAACAAAGCACACAAGCTTTGATTCAACCTTTTTCAATTTGGCACCTGCCACATAGCTGGCTGGAACTGTTGGAAGTTGTTTTTGACATATCTGGAGGGAACAAGGCTGGGAAAGGCTGTTCTGTTCACTCAAACATTATAATGTTAAAGAAACTCACAAAAGCTCAGAAATCAGCTTCCATAACCAGAGGCCACCCTGCCACTAGAAACCACTCACTTGTGAAAAATGTGCAGTGCTCGATTTGATGAATCTATGGCACTGATATTACTGGGTGACTTTGGGCCAGTCACAGACTCTCGGCCCATCCTACCTCCCAGGGTTGTTGTGAGGATAAGACTGAGAGAGGAGGAGGAGAATGGTAGAAGGCACTTTGGGTTCAGTGTAAGAAAAAAGGCAGAATAGAACTCTATGAGATTCATAAATAGTTGAGGAAGAAACAAATTCACCCGTGTCCCTCCTGGCTTCTTTGGGGAACTAGGAAGAGATTTTGGCGGGCTTGCTCTGCCTGCACCAGAGGCCACAAATGCTTTTGTGGTTTGCATTATAGCAAATCGCCACCCGTTGCCTATATGGCATTGAAGAGCTTTCCTTACTGAAGCCTTCCCCAAATTGCTGCCATCCAGGAATGCTGGAATGCACCTTCCATAAATCCCAACAGCCCAGCATCTCTAAGACGGTAGCAGGCCGGGGGAGACTGCTATACAGGGAAACCATTCAGCTGCCAACATGGGGACTAAAAGCATAGGATTTTCTGATGCCTCGTTATACATGGTTAAAACAATATTTGGAGATGGGGAACTATTTAAGTGGCACTCATTGAAGCACAAGTGTGGGCCAACTGATCTCCAACTATTAACTTTTTGTATGGAATCCGTCTACATTATAAACTCCAAAAGGTCACAATTCTAGTCTTATGGGAAGAAAAGAGAGTTGTTTTAAGGCTAGTGGGGCCCAACGGGGCTGCGATTACTTTGGATTGCCTCTCTCTGACTTTCTAGGGGAGGCATCTCATTGAACACTCAATGTAGCAGTATTTTTAAATTCTGGTTGTCATCGACATGATATCTGTAGCTCTGGAGGCCTGTTTGAGTCTCCACTAGAGAGCATCCATAGAGCAGGAGTCCACAGCCTTTCTGACCCCATGGGCACCTTTGAGGACTTGCAAAAATGCTGAGGACATCCCCACAAAGGCCTAATCAGCCCACCAACTGCATCGATGCAACTTAGGCTGTGTCTTCTGCAAAAGAGAAAGTAAGATTGCTGTGTGCCTATTGGACATGGCAATATCCCTTGAATAAGGATCTGCTAATCTGGCTAGTTGCTGGAAGTGCAATATAATGCATGTGTCTTTTAAACACGTTTTGACAATGTCCAGTTGTTGCTTCTTTTAGGAAGGAGGTTATTTGCACAGGCCAATTTTGTAATGGAATGGACTTTAATAACTGTTTCATGGAAAATGAAAAGGATGACTGGTGCATGACTGGATGATTCTTTGGGATCAGCTGAGAGTTAAAACACTTATTGCAACACTGGAAGGGTAAACATCCACCACCTATAATGCAATGGATTGAGGGCCTTACAACACATTTTATTTGGGTGGCATATGGATCCCATTTTCCAATAAGTATTTATTGGATCATTTCATCTATTTTTGTTTAAAACTACATGCAATTGCTTGAAACCATATATTTACTACTATGGATATGTAAGAATCCATGTAGCATTTTGTGGGTGCCCTTGGGTGCCACAGTGGAGGCCCTTCATGGGTGCCACTCCCTGCACTAAAGCCATTAGCCATCAACACATTCTCCATGGTCTTATTCAGAATGCTTTAGAGTTAATTAAACAGCACTGAAGTGCACTACAAAGCATTCTAGAAGTCTTTCTTCCATTAACTCTAACAATCACTCTGGTTAAAGGAAGAGCAATTCTGCTAACTTAAAAAAACCGAAAAAGTTGTGTAGTTGCTACGGTATGCTTTTGAATGACTCCATCCCGAAAAATAAGCAAACATTTTTCTTTAGCCTCTTACGTGCTTTCCTTTCACTGTTGGTCCACTACATATTATCAAGTATCCCTCTTCATCTCACTTTGTGTTCCATGCAGACACTGATTTGCCTCTAGCGCTAGTGCGACTTCAAACTGATCCACTGAAATGAATGGGTCTCAGGAATGACTAGCGCTTGATACAAGCCACTGGCTAGTTTATGGCGCACAGGCTGCTGGCTGAACAGGTGTGAGATGTGCTAAGGCCACCCGAGGATCTATTCGCTGCATGCCATTTGCATCGGGCTTAAAGCACGGAATGAGAAACATTTGGGGTTGCTCCCCTGAGCACGCTGACGAGACCTCTGTCCTTTTTAGCAGCAGCTTAACAGGCAGAGCAGTTGATCTAGTTCCCAGCGTGGAAAGGCAGAAACGGGGACAACTTCCCAGCTGAAGGGCGGCCTGCTGTGCAGCTGTGAACGCACAGGAGGCCTGCGGAGAATGTGCATGCACACGGGCACAAGCCAAGAGCCCCTTCGTTGCTTCGTACTTTATGACCTGTGCCTCCACAACATGCTAGAAAGTATGTACACATAATGACAACTTACGAAACCTCTGCATAGAATGAGTGCGTAGGGCAGAGGCTGGAGTTGTCCTGAGAGTGGAACGTGAATGATTTAAAATACCGCAGGGAAGAAGTGGAGAGCCAATTACCCTCTGAAATGGCAGTTCTGTTCCCATGGGAGCAATAAGCAGTCTTTGCAATTTGGAGACATCAGCGGCATTTAAACAACATTTCTTGCCCATGTTAGTGCCAATGGCCCCCAAGAGAAGCCCTGATGAAGGCGACAGTCAGAAGCGAAAGATGAGAGGCAGATGTTGGAAGACACATACCTTTTGATGAGGGATCACGGGCATGGGAGAGTCAATTCTTGGAGAAGTCGCTGGAAGTGGAATTGGGCGCTTCGATCTGGCACAAATGAAAATAAATTATATATATTATTGAGTGGCTTCCCCTCCCCCAAGGCCATTAAAAAAATCTCTGAAAAATACGTTACCGACGAAATATTATTTTTCATGTTAGCATCTGCCGAATATGACTAAAAAATATGAAGACTGAAATAATGTTGTAAGCTGTCCAGAGGCGACAGTAATGGACGGCCTACAAATCTTCTAAATAAATAAATAAAATAAAAAACAGACCTAAAGCTGGGATGGGGCGATCCTGATCAAGGTGCACAGGACATTAAAGGAGCAGGTTTGGGTCTCTTATGGCAAAGGCTGCTGGGACAGGGAGCAGGTTCAGCATCAACCCCAAGCACAGCCCTGACTGCATCCCTTTACTTTTCTCCATGGGAGTGTAAGGCTGCCATTCGCTTATATGGGGAAAAATTCAGCACTGCACAGGGGTGGGGGGCAATGCTTGCCTGGTGTCCCTCCCTAAATGCCTGGATCATCCTTTCCTGCACAGAGAAGCTGCACCTCTGCCTGCCCACCACACGGAGAGACGCAGCGCCACCTAGTGGGCTCCTGTAACACGCAAGGCCTCTAGCTCATCTGCTGTAAAATTCCATTTGTCCACTGGAATCAAGGAGGATGCATGTCTGTCTGTCTGTCTGTTCTTCAGCACCACAGTGCCAAGACCTAGACTCCTGAGACTTGGCATGCATGCTAAGCGAAACCTAGGGGTGTGTGCCTCAGGGCTATTCTGGTTTTAAAAACCAATCGGCAATTTTAATTAACCTGAATGTGTCTGTCTGGTTGGCGCTTGCAGTATCCAGCCCTTGGGAGCAGACTTTCCCAACCAGCTCCGTAGTTCATACATTTGAAGCTGGGACAACGAGTAGGTTCAGGGATATCTATGCCTGCACTCCTGGACCACCTATAGGTTTTTAGACCTCACAATCCATAGGCAGCTATGCCATTCTGACTGTGATGAAGCACTGGCCAGAAGCAGCGTAGCAACTACGGATCTTAAAACTGACACGTATCTATGATATGCTCCACGTTTGGCTGATATGCGCCACTATGACCAACACAACTACTCACTGTGTGGAAATTTCAAGCCACCACACTGAGCATACAGGCTTTGCCCATCGTTCCTGCCTTCTTCACCGACGACATTTACAACCGAGCATGAACATTCCCCGCTTTCTGCATGCAACGGAACTGGAGGGGAGGGCACTGGAGGTGAAATCCACCCAGGAAGAATAGAAGCACCAAGTAATAGACAGAGGAAGAGTCTTGCGAGGACTCGTCCCTTCATGCAGTGACAACTCCAAACAATAACGTCTAAGGCCTTTTTTTTTTTTAAGTAATGGCATTGCAACTGAAAGGACAAAAACATACTAGATATCAGGAAAAGCTTCTTCACTGTCAGGGCAATACGGCAGTGGGACCAGCTGCCTGGGGAGGTGGTGGGCTCTCCCACACTGGAGACTGTCAAGGCAAACCTGGGCAGCCGTCTGAGTGGGATGGTGTCATGTGGTAACCTGCAACAGCTGGGGGTTGGACTGGATGGCCTTCATGGACCCTTCTGACCCTACTATTTTATGATTCTATGTAAGGTTGTGAACATTTCCTGCACAGATAGTGGGGAAAGGCTGCATTAAAGAGATAAGATCTATTTCCTTTTTCTTTCTCAGTTTTACTTCAGTTTCCAGAATGACTTCACATAATGCAGAAATTAACTTCTGCATGTGCTTGACATGTTTCCCAAGTAACCCTGGAAGTTGAAAATCACCCATGTTCGTCATGGTGGGCAGTATCTGCTCCCCAGGCAGCTGGAGCTCAAGCGTCTCGGTATGAAACGGAAGGGTTAACTCCCCCCCCCCCATCAAATATTACACAGGAAAGATTAAAAAAATATTTCTATAAACCTCTCCTCTTGAAAGCCTGTTTGGAACTTATTTAGTGGAAAAGATCTCAGCCTGATAAGAATTTTAGCCTCTCACATGTTCTTTCTCTCATACTGGAGAAAAGGCCCAGAGCTGGCACAGGCAACATTGCCAGGCAGATGCCAAAGCGCTTATTTATTTATATCCCACCTTTCTCCCGTTGTGAAACTCAGGGTGGCTGCGTGCAATTCGCAGGCAGTCTCCCCTCCAAGCTCAGGCCACCCCTGGACCTGCTTAGCTTCAACATGGTAACTGCCTTATATGCCTTCGCTGCCTTCATGCTTCAGCTAGCAGAAGGCACCCGTGTTTATCTGTGCATGAGGATCTACAAATACGGTTGCTAAGTCATCAGTGGCGACCACAAATTTAATTCTGGAGACCAGCTGGAAAAGCCATTCATCTTTTCCAACTCAAGTACCATGCTATTTTTAAAACTGCCAACAACCCATGGAGGCAGATAGTGAGAATTTCAAGCCTCAATGGCCATTAGAAATAATCACTGGCAGGCAAGCTTAGTCAAAATGTGTGGACTCAGAGCAAGGCCAATATTTACAGTAACCTGGGGCAACACTCAGTTGCTTTAACTCCTGGTATATATCCAAGTATTCCTTCATTTAGCATCTACTGATAGCTGCCTTTTCCCTTCCATTCTTCGCCTCCAATTCCTGCCAGCAGGTTTCCCCAGGTTCCACCTTTTTTTGCAGCTTATTAGCATGGTCCAGTTTCACCTACTGCATTATCCTTACGACCTGCTGTGACCATTCCCCCTCAGGTGCTCTGTTCCCCCACACTTGGGATTACTGACACTTAGAACTAGAAGATCTTGGAGTTCATCCAGCCTGATCTCCTCTCCAATTCAGCTGTTTTGCAACTACATCACTCCTGACAAATCTAACTCTTGCTCAACACATCCTGTCATTTTACTTTTGAAAAGCACTGAACTTTTTCTCCTTTTCACCCTGTTTCATTCTTTTCTTTTCAAATCTGGACCCTACAATACACTTTGAAGGCTGTGATCACAGGTTTGGATAATCATATGATAGCTGCACGTCATCCAGTTCAAGGATTTGCAAATGTTTCTCGTCACTTAAAACACAAAATGGAATAAAAAGCACTTTTCAGACTGAAATGTTTCTCCTTTCCACTTATTGTTCACCTTCTCTGTGTATTCAGAGTGAGAGAGTCACTAATTTTGCTTCTGAATGAAAATTTTTTATAAAATTACTTAACTATTTCATGGCACCTTAACAAAGGCTTGCTTCTCCCTTAGCTATGGGGCAGCTCCATGTGCAGTGTCTGTGTGTGTGTGTGTGTGTGTGTGTGTGGAGGGTATTTGCACATTGCCATGTGAAATAGACCCCTTCTTGGATTATTGCCTTGGTGTGCCGAAGGAACTTGTGTAGCCTAATGAAGCTATGAGCTAGGCCATGCAGGGGCACCCAAGATGGACAGGTCATAGCAGAGAGCTCTGACAAAAGGTGATCCACTGGAGAAGGAAATGGCAACCCACTTCAGTATCCTTGCCATGAAAACCCCATGGAGAGTACCAAACGGTAAACAGATTTGAGAGCCAAGAGATCAAACCAGTCAATCCTAAAGGAAATCAACCCTGACTGCTCTTTAGAAGGCCAGATACTGAAGATGAAACTCAAATACTTTGGCCACCTAATGAGAAAGAACAACTCACTGGAGAAGAGCCCAATGCTGGGAACGATTGAGGGCAAAAGAAGGGGAAGGCAGAGGATGAGGTGGCTGGATGGAGTCACTGGGGCAGTGGGTGTGAGCTTGGGTAGACTCCGAGGGATGGAGGACAGGAGAGCCTGAAGGAATGTTGTCCATGGGAACGTGAAGGGTCAGGCACAACTTTGTGATGAATAACAACAAATGTGAAATAGAATGACATTCTGGATCAGGCCACTTAAGTCCAGAATGGAACGCAAGGCTCCCAGTGGGTTCACCAGGAAGCCAGCAGATCCCACCAATGGGACCCTTGTAGAAGCGCTAAAAGGCCGAATCAGAAATCAAGGCACATCCAGGGCTGATGCAGGAAAGGACCATGTCCCTGCCTTGTTCCTCCATAGTAATGCTTACTCAGGATTGGAAGAACAAACTACAGTTCCCTGCCGGGTTTCATCGTGCTCCCCTGAGTGCCTTGACTCCCCATCATCCCCACACAAATTCCGTCCGGCAGCGATCCTGACACTGATTGCAGTGATGGAGGACCATTTCCAATCGTGGCTGCGCAGGGGAAAGGTGGAGAGCAGGCCCTCGCCTCCTCTGCCAGCGATCCTGGTGCAGCCACCCTTTCCTTGCTGCTGCTGCTGCTGCGATCAGCGAGGAAGCCAAGATCTGGGGCAGGATGGCTGAAACGTGTGTGTGCACACAGGTTCACATGCATGAGCAGCTGACCAGCATTCTCCCTGCTGGCATGTGCCGGGCATAGTTGCATCACCCTCCAGGTGCAGTGGGAAGAGGGGAAGCCTGCCGTGGTCACTCAAGGGCTCTCCCTCAGCATTACATCTGCTCTCATCGCCTTCTTCCCATAGACACAAATACAGCTGATAAGGCACATGTCGTTATGAGCATCTTCTCCAGACTCTTCAATACCGATCCCATGTGTTTGGGAAAGCTAGTAATATATGCGATTTAGTACTAGTCTTTATTTAAACCGTTTTTATACCGTCCATGACCGAAGTTTTGGGATGGTTTGACAGTAAAACAGAATATAACAAAATAAAATGCTATACTCAAATATCTATTCAAGTATAGAATTTATATGAAGGACACTTAAGATGATCTCTATTGTTTCATCAATGCCATCCAGGTAATCAAATGACACCTTACTGGGTTCAGGTAAAATACAATCCCATACCTGGCATCTCTTTAACATCTGTAAAATCTCTTTCTATAAAACTGAATAGTTTCCATACATATTGCTTTAACGGTTGGCAGAAATGCAAAGACTTCTTTTCCCTTTTTAATCACATGCACGGCCTGGATTGTTATTCTCTGCGGCTCTTTTAAAGGGAAGATCGATACCATTTTAGAAAGCCTTGCGTGCCGTCATCCCATT